ATATGGAAAGCAACCTAAATTACTGTGAGGATAAGTATCCCTTTATATCTACAGGTACAAGCAATGATCAAAGCAGCCTGGGGCTGTAAGTTAATCATTCTTTCTGGAAATTACTTATTGGATTTGCTTCCTCAAGTTCTGTTCTGTCAGCATTTATAACAGAAGCTGCTTGGATTGTGTCTTTGGACTAAGTTCTTAAAGAGCTATTTTATCTGTTAGCCATACATTTGAAATCATTTGTTAATTACACTTTCCTGGATTTTAATTTTTTTCTATGAATTCCTTGATTTATCCATTTGCTAGCCAATATTCAATTCTTTCTTTTTTATTAATGGCACACTATTTTGTAAAATCCTAATAGTGGGCCCTCCCTGGTTGTGCAGCAGGTGAAATCACAGCATTAAGAAGCTAAAGCCACTTCAGCGTGAGTTCCATCCCCGGCCAGGAGGTGACCCACATGGCATGGCAGACCTCTCCTGACCCGCCTGCTGCTCCCCTCAGCAGTGCATTTTGTCAGTCGGCCTTTTCTGCTCCCCACTCTGTCTCTGGAGAATCCTCTCACCACCCCTGCACCTCTGGCCTATACCCCAGTTCTATATGCATAAATAAACCTTTTTTAAAAATCCTAATAGTGACAGGTTTCCTCATGCTCATGATGATGGTGTCTCAAGATATTTTAACCTTGGATATGTGATCTTCCAAGGATTCCATCACTATTTCAAAATTATAAGCAATTAGACCTACATTTAGATCTTATTATTTAATACATAATAAACATGTCACTATGTCACCGACTTAAAATGTTTCATTTCCTTTATAATTTAATGTATTTTATTTTGTGCATGTATATAATACTGTTCTGAGGGAAAAAATACATGGTTCACTTGTCCTAGTTGTTATTCTCAATTATTGTTTGGCCACACCAGAATGTCAAAGTGGTGCATACTATGTACTACTGGGGAGGAGAAAAACTTCCCTCTACCTCTGAGTCCTTGTTCTGATTGAGTAGTCAAATCAACATCAGACAGATCAGTAGGAGAAAAAAACAAATTTAACTATATCATACAGGGAATTAAAAAAAAAACATAGACTCCAAAGTTAATAAGGAAAAATGGGGTATATACCCTTAACCAAGGACTAGTATAGGGGCCTGGCCTTTGAGGAAAGAGGAGGACTCACCGGACAAGGAAAGTGTAACTTACTTATGAGGAAGATGAGGCGCTCTGCAATCAGCTGTTTGCTCTCCCAGATAGCTAGCTGGGTTTTTCTGAGAGAAAGTTTATTTCTGGGGAAAAGCTATTCGGGGTAATTTTGTCCTTGGTAGTTAAGGGAGTGGTAAAATTTTTTGTGAGCCTGCAAGACTTCAGATGATCTAGTGACATGCCCAAGTGACAAGACTTGGAAAGTATGTTCTGAACACTTTGGGGAATCACATTTGAGCATTTGAGAGAGATCTGTTCTATACAACAAACCTTAACATATTTCTCCTAGGAGACAGCAAAATAATACAGTATAAGGCATGGAATTCCTGAGTAACTTGGATACTAAGGAATTCTTAATGAGGCAGAGGTAATTTTTTTTCATTAATTAATGTATTATTAATAGATTAGCCTTTCCCTAACTAGCCCCATTTTTGATTACCTGGATAGTTGTGATAAATGTTATCTTTTTTTTTTTAATAAATAATGCTATAATGCAAACCCACCTTAATCGTTTACTGGAGAAATGTGAAAAAAACTACAACACACATTTATTTTTACTAGATTTATGAATGTCTGGAGTCCTGGTAAAGCCACAGACAATTGCAGAAAAACACTTGTACCTTCTTAATTCTCTAACCACCAAGTCCAGTTGCGATAGTCTCTCTTGCTGGCTTGCACTCTCTTCCTCTATGAGGTTAAGTGTTTGGGAGGCCATTGAGGGAAAAACATGACCTTAGACTTTCTCTGAAAATTAGAAATTGAAAGAGTGATCCTTTATAATCCCAATATCACCTGGCTATTGTCAGTATGTAGGAGATTATTTCTCTATCCCTCTGGGTTCTTCTGAGGCTGTATAAATTAATATCAGACAGATGAGAAGGAAAAAAAATATCAAATTTAATGACATATGAATGGGGAACTTATGTAGATGTAATTCTACATGTAAATGGAATAAACCAGGGGTTTATATACTGTGCTACAAAGTCTAGAGTGTCAGTGTATATCTATACATATATACATGAATATATATCTTGCCCTCCTTTAAGATAGGTTTTTCTGATAAAAAGTTTGTTTCTGGTGTTATCTCTATTCCTAGGGTTTCTTTACATACTAGTATCAGTTTCTCCTGAGGCTCACAGGACCTACCTGAACTTAGCTCCACATACCAAAATGACAGGTATTGGAAAAGGCCTGACTATCTTGGGAAAAGCCTATCTGAACTTTTTTGGAAAGACCTACCCTACAGTAACAAATGTGAAAAGGAATACCTGCGAGAGTGCACATTTTAGTTATGCTAACTGCACTAATATTGATAGGATGAGTATTAAAAACAAAATTCAAATGGGTAAATGTTAAAGAACTTATTGGCTCTACTCAACAATTCATGGGTCAGGGAACATCCAATCTAGCAAGTAGAAAGGGGCTCTACAATGGGCCCTCCCTGGTGGCTCAATGGGTTAGGACACAGCACTGCAAGCTGGCCACCTCAGTGCAAGTTCAATCCAGGGCCCCAGGGGTGACCTACATGGAGCAGCAGACCTCTGCTGTCTCGCCTGCTGCTCCCCTCAGCGGTGTACTTCGTTGATCTGCCTGTTCTGTTCCCAGCTTTGTCTCTGGTGAAGCCTCTCACCACCCCTGCACTTCTGGCCTGTACCCTACTTCTGTGTGCATAAATAAATCTTTAAAAAAAAGAAAGAAAAGTGCTCTGCAAAATCTTAGACTTTTGCCCCCTTTCTCTATTGTTCTCCACCATCAGGGTGCGTGCACTTGACTCTGTTCCTTGCCATGTCTTCTGAACTGACTTTGGGATCAGGTGATTCCTGGCTAAGAAACAAAAATGGAATAGTCTATTCACCGATGGATTCTAGTGAAACCTGGTGATAAAGTCAGGTACAATTCCAAGAGGAGATGTTGGAGAAGAACCACCGTAGGTCTGTAAGTGATCACACATGAGACAACACACATTTATGCTGTACCAAGGTCATTAGCATTTTACCACATGTCACTAAAAACATCACCATTACCTGGACATGTTTCCTCTCTGTATGCTTCTGTACCTAGCAGACTAGCTCAGTAGTAAGCATATGAGATCACTGCTTGGGGGGAGGGAAGGAAAGTAAGACTTTTTAACCACAAAGGATCAGGAACAAAGAAGTTATACTAGACTACAAAGCAGATTGGCTACCACAAGATTACTTAACTTTAGCGTCTCTCAGGAATATTACCTATAGATGGTCATCTCTGCACACAAAAGCAAAGAAAACATACTTTTGGTGTGAAAGATTTTAATCAAGTGTGCATAGACATAGAAAATAAAGTGTTTGAAATATTAACAAGCTGAAATTTACCCATCCCCTCAAAGGCAAACACCCAGCCAGGGTTGGCTAGAAAGGGGGACCACTAAGACCCAAAAAATTGGCAATGTGTGAGTTTCTGGCAAGCAAACACAGAAAGGGCTAGGCAGTTCCCAGATGGCTGGTACAGAAGGGGAGATTCAAAATTTGAAAATATAACATGTAATTCACGTGTGAAGATAATGATGGCCATTGTCTCTGCCAAAGACAGGAGCAGCCTCTGCATGTTTCTCTCCACTCTCTTCCCAAGTGTCTTTTCTAGGTTTCTACATGTCTTTCCTGCATGTGTCCCCTTTTCCCTTTATCCCACTCCCAGCTTGCTCCTTCCCAGCTGCTCCCCATCAGGAAATCCGTTTCCTGGTCTGCTGTGGACATTATTCTTAGCGAGACAAGCCAGACAACGGCTTACCCCACTGATGTGTGGAATCTAAAATACTCAAAGTCATAGAAGCGGAGTACAGTAGTGGTTACTAGGGACTAGGGGATGGAATGGGGAGATAATTAGTCAAGAGGTACAAAGTTTCAGTTACACGACTGGAGAAGTTCTGGCCCTAGTATATAGCATGGCAACTATAGGTTTGTTAAACAAGACAACAGTCCCAAAACAGAGTTGCTTAAGCTAAGTCCAACATGATTGAAATGACACTTGTAGCTTCAACTTTCCCAGAAATGAAATCTTAAACCATTCAATCAAGAATTGCATAAAAGACCTTAGTTGGCTGTCCTGTGTCACAGTTTCTGGGCAGTCCCTCGAGAAAAGTAACCTTGCAGTAACCAATAAGCCCTTTGGCCTTGCATAACTTCCTTGTTTCTATTCCCTTCTGGCTATAAAAGTCTTTCACTTTGTATGACTCAGTGCTCCTTTCTGCTGATTGGATGCTGCCTGACTTGTGAATCACTGAATAATGCCAATGAATTCTTAAAACTTTCCTCAGTTGAATTTTGGTGTTTAACAGGTCGAACTACAGCACTATATACTTAACATTTGCTAACAAGGTAAATCTTGAGCATTCTCACCACACTCTCACTCCCACAAAAAGGTAACTAGGTGAGGTGAAAGATATGTTAGTTTGAATGTAGTGATTATTTCACAGTGTAAATGTGTACCAAATTATGATGTATACTTTAAATATAAAGTGTGTCTGCTAAAAATCAGTTTCACTTTAATCCTTACATACCACACACAAACACAAACACAAAACTTGCCTTGCTTTAGCAACTAGTGTCTTCAACCATCTGTTTCTTACTTTCTTTCCAAATACTTAAAGGCAGAAGTTGTCTTGGAGAGGAAATAGTCTCCCCTTTCTGTGTCTCAATCATAGATCCAATGGTGTTAGTCTTTGACCAAAGTCCATGAGATTATTTAGGGATATGCATATGTAGAAACTAGATATTAATTAAAAGAGGGTAAGGAAAAAAAAAGAAATAATCCCCAAACAAGAGCTCAGATACCCACAGCTTAAGTCCTTTATTACAAAGAAGATGAACAATCTTTCAGCCAGGATGCGTGCATGAGTCTTACTGATACACTCACTTAATAGGGTGACTCAAAAGTTTGGGAAGAGAGTAACAAAATTCCTAGTATGGTTTCTTGATTTTTATTACACCCAAACCTAACAAGGTTGCCAAATTACATACACTCTCATTTTGCCAGTATGTATTTCCAAAATTTTAATGCTTCACTGCTGACTTTTGGGAATAACAAAAGGCACTCCTTGTGATGAAATAGCCAGTTCTTTGCCTCAAATTTTCCACTAATTTTATGGTATTCAGCAAATCCCTTAACTTTGGGCTCCTATGTATACCAGTATCACAGGGGTGCTGTAGTATTAAAATGAGATGACTTACATGAAAGCACTTTGAAATGCTATATGAATACATATAATGACTAAATTCTGGAAGACAGGATGGGGGGAGAGCTAAGCTAACCAGTCTTCTAAAAGGAACTTTATTATAGAAAAGTCCAGACTCATTATAGGTCTATGTCTCCATTTCTCTGTGATGTGTTTAACTGAATGGGCTCCTAGAGAAAAAAGGACAAGCAACAGCAGAGGAGACAGAGCCTGAGACAACTCAAATGTACTACTCATTGCTGATTAAGAAGTAAGTTAAAGGCCACTCCTGGCCAGAATTCAGGCAGGGTGGCATCTATCTGTCAAAGTGCACAGGCAACTCCGGGCTACCATCACAGGCAATGACAACACGCCGGGGGCTGGTTGTGGCCCTGTATCTGCAGTTGGGAGCCCTGGAACTTCCTGTCTCCCTGCAGTCAGTGACCTTCACTACACCCTCATGGCAGTTCATCCTGCCATTCTTGCACGGGATATTGGTGGTACTGCAGATACTGCGAATGTTCCAGATGTCTTCATGGATGAAGGTGTTGACGCGTTTGCACTGATTCTGGGTCATCCTCCGTCTCTGCATCATCAGGTTGCAGTAGCCATCATTGCCACCTGCTCCCTGAGGGTCCACGTGTTGCCGCAGGAATCGTTGGAACATGCGATTCTGACCATAGGAGGGTCGCACCAGCACTAGCTCCAGCAGGGTCAGCACCAGGAGGAGCAGTGAGTGGATCCTCTGGAAAGCCATCATTATCTTGGGGGTGCCTATAGAAATGAAGGGGCAGCAAACATAAGAATTGGGTGCTGGAGAGAGGTGTTGAGAATGGCAAGCTGACATTTCCTCTATAGTCTCCTGGTTCCTTACGTTACGGGCACCATCCCCCCTGCTCTTGTTTCCTCAATAGTTTGAAAGCAAAAAATTCCTCTTTTATAGAGAGAAACCAATATAACTCGAGAGACAACGGCATCCAGGTTTGCTTGGCTAGAACAGTCAGGGTGTGAGAAGGGAGAAGCAAATCAAGATGGAACTGAGATAATTCTCTGTTCATGTGATCTCTGAAGAATGGTTCCCTGGAGACTCTGAATTGCAAAAGCTTGGGTAGATTCAGGACAAAGAAAATTGATGGACTGATTATAATTCCCTACATCTGGGAATGGAGGAAGGTGGAGGAATAAGGACAGAGAAACATTTGCATTTAGCCTTTTATCCCATGGGGGTATTCTTCTAATGGTATTAAAGTCAGGTTCTTCTTGGAAAACCTGTTAATCCTACATAAACAAAGCCCAAAACATAAGTGCCCAGTCACAGTGCTTTTGAAGATGGTATATGTCACTTGAATGAACAAAATGAGTGAGCTAGAAAACAAAGGAAACGAAACGAGTACAGAGAGCAAAAGAGTGTGTCCCACGCTGTGGAACGCACAAAGAAGAAAAGCTAAGAAACCCTACAAAATAAACATAAATCTCTGCACAATTGAAACAAAGAGGCCTGGCCATACACTTCATTGCTCATATAATCTGACACGTTGCCTATCTTGGTTGTTGGTTATTGTTTGTCTTCTCTAGTTGCAGGAGAATGATATTGGCACCTATTGGCAATAGGAAATAAACACATATTTTTCAGAGTTGAACAAAACCAGAATTGCTGTGTAATTTCAGAATACTGCTTTTGTTTGAATGAAGAAAGGAATCCAGGCTCTCTCTAAAAATCTATGCTTATTCCATACCCTTCTCCGAATAAGTTCCTCTAGCAAGTTGGAGGGAAGTGGAAGAGGCTATAGCCCCTCACCCTCTCTAACCAGCCCGATGCTGCCACCTAACTGTCACTCGTGGAACTGCCTGCGAAGCCCCTTGACTTGCCGTGAGGGCAGGCTGGGCTGAGAGTCGTAGGATTCAACAGAAAGTGATCAACCCCAAGTAGCAAGGGCAATTCTTTAAGATTCAGATAGGCCCAGTCCAGGGGCAGTCCAAGGGCTGGCTCCAGCTGAACTTGTGTGAGTTGTCTGAGTTCTTCGCTTTCAAAAACGCAGCTTCATGCTGGCAGGTCACACTGTGACTGAATCACTGATGAGGGACCTGCAATTTATTCCACCTAATTTGGATGGTGATAATGTGCAGTGACAAATGTAACTAACATACTTTTAATGCCACCTCTACATTCTCAGGCATCTATGACCTGTGCAGAGAGATGTCATCTTCCTGTTGCTGCAGCTGTAGAGCTGAGATAGGACATTAGGAAAAGAGATGCCAGGGAATGAATGAAGCCCAATTTTCTCCTCTTCCCAAACCAGTGGCTACAACTTCTGCTGGACTTCTCAAGTCAAGGCTTCATCAGGACACAGTATTTGGGGTGCTTTTCCCCAAATGTAGTCTTGCATCTCTAATCTTGTATGGTTCTACTTTCTCTCTTCTATACTCTAGTGACCAAGAAGATGGGTTAGCAAGATAACCCGCTGTAGAGAAGACCTCAGCTATTCATGGGAGAGCAAATCTATCATCTCAGTCACACTAACCAACTGTTTTTAAGAAAACACGAAAAATATTGTGAACAGAAGTCCAATGTATCAGTGGGTGCATTTCAAGGCTCTCACTACAACAGAAAAATGAAGCATCAGTCAAATCATTCCAACACCAGCTTCTTGATCAAAGCTTGCATCAGCTCTCAGTGAGCACACCCTTGATGCTGTAAGCTTAAAAATCCTATGCTGTCAGTGGGGAGGGAAATGCACTGGACTATGGTGATGACACATGGGTGATTTGGTGATGGGAAGCCCAAGAGGATTGCAACTGAGATGGGAAATGCACAAAATGATGCAAAAATGAACTATTATATAAATAAAAAATAAAAAAGGGTTAAAAAATATAATATGAATTAAATACATTACTCTAACAAAAAAAAATTCCTATGCTGTCACATAACTGGGTGACCATGGGGTAATTTCTTACTTAACCTTGGTATATTTCCTCATACTATGAGCACAATGAGGCCTACCTTTGAGGGATGTTAGGAAGAATAAATGAGAAAATTAATGTAAAGGGTTTCATGTGGAAAGTGACTAGTAAATGCTGGCAATTGTCATTTTTACAATTCGTGTTTTGGCTTCCTTCAGTCTGGATAAAAATAACAAATCAGAGCTCTTCCTGGTGGCACAGCAGGTTAAAGCACAGCCCTTAGAAGCTAAAGCCACTTCAGCATGAGTTTGATTCCCACCCCGGAGGTGACCACATGGCGTGGCAGACCTCTCCTGACCTGCCCACTGCTCCCTCAGCAGCGTACTTCTTTGTCGATCTGCCTGTTCTGCTCCCCACTCTGTCTCTGGTGAAGCCTCTCACTGCCCCTGCACCTCTGGCCTGTACCCCAGCTCTGTATGCATAAATAAATAAATCTTTTTTTTTAAGTAACAAATCATACTGAGTTGAATATATTATCAATCTCCCAAACTTTAGAGCCTGTTCCAAGGAATTAGAAGGCAGTTTTTAAGTTGAAACAGCTCAGCTACTGGAAATAATACTGTGTCCTAGAAAATTTGTTCCTCCTCATGTTGCATGGGCTTTTCTTCCTTGTATGTCACCATTCCTCAGAAGAAATGACATTTTGGAGCTCTTCTTTTCCTTGCCAAGTCAACAAAGCACAGCTGACTTCAGTTCCTTGGATGATTTGCTTGAGATGAGATGACTGGCATGGGACTTCATTCAAAACAGCTTTGAGTTGTGAGAGAATATGTGACACTGAGCAAAAGTGGTCAGGATCAGCTTGCCCATGAGTGGGTCGGGATGCACCCCAACTATTGCCAGGTGATTTCCTCGGATCCAGACCTCTGCCCTAACACCAGAGTGGGGTGCATGATGACAATGCTCTAAAGAGGTGTTTGGACAAGACTTGAGTTTTCTAGGCTTTGGGATGATCAATAAAATAATGGTCCATGCTTTGGACCTCTCCTGTTGAGACCCGGGGTGGGATGATGAAGGTCACTTCACCTCCCATAAGGGAGATGGTACTGGTTGGAGAACCGAGGGAAAGGATCAAATATTCTTCTCCATACTGGAACTTTCCACTTCCTCAGGGGTTTTGAAACAGGTGAACTAAAGGCAAAGCAATTCCTACATGTAGCCACTTCTCCATCCCTCCTCCACACATATGAGTGACCCCAGCGAGGTGGGGCTCCCCCAGGTGGCACCTGGACTCTGGACTGTACCCTGGGTTTGAGGAGCTAGGGCTTCGGCCCACTGGAGGGCAATGACAGGGTGGGCGACACCACATTGGGGGTACTGTGAGCACTCCAGTTGTGTATTCACAACACTCAAAAACTATTGGTTTACTACTGTAATTATTCACTATAAGTAAAATATCCAGGGACCTACTGATAGAAATTAGGTAACCTGAAGATAAGCACTGAACCTGTAGGTTGTTTAGGTTATTTTACAAAGAGAGTGTCTGTTTACCTAAATTTATTGAGCCAAATCTAGTTGAAGAAGAGTAAGTGATGAATTTGGGATTTGTCCCCAATATCCTTAAGACCTCACAGTTGCAGACGTCAGTTGATAAAGATTAGATAGAGAATAACATCAAGTAATACATTTTTTGAACTCTGTGTGGTAATCTTGTAGCATTACATCTGTGTGTGAGAGAGAACTTAAGTCTCTAAAATTCTCAAGGTTTCACATTTGAAAAAATAAAAATAGTATTAGCTAGTTATTACTTTGACAGCAAAGACAACTGCCCTAAAAAAAATTCTACTTAATGGATTTAACTCCCTTACTCTCAAGAAAGGCAAAGGCCAGCCTACTGACTGATAAAGAAAAAGGCATTTCTACTTCATCCAGGCCTCTTGGGACAGAGGACAACTGAGTAGAGAAAATGGGGAGGATCAATAGGCCAAGAATCAGTGAGACAACTTTGATTCTTAATCACTTCAGAGACTTTTATTCATTAAACATAATGTAAAGCAGGAGCAGAAGGTGCCGGGCGCTTGCATTCTGGGCCCGGCAGTCTAGGGAAGTAGGAAATGCAAGGGCAGTAGAGCAGTCATCCCTAGGCCAGCGACCTGGAGGTCAGGGACGGATAAAGGACTCATCGAAGTGGACAGGCAGTCCGTCTTCACAGCCAATGACAATGTTTCTATACCCACTGTGGGCCCTGTACCGGCAGGGGGGCCGGGAAGAACCCCCTATAAGCCTGCAAGTGGTAATCTGGAAAGCAGAGTTGCTTATTCTTAAATTTCCTTCATAAGGGCTTCCACTCTCATCTCCACAGATGTCCCTGATGCTTCTTCCAGTGCCATGAATAAAGGTGTTGGTGTCTTTGCAGGGCGAGGTCAGGCCTTGTCTCCTCATCCTGTTGTTACAGTATCTGTCATTCCGGCCTTGCGGCCTGGGATCATAGTGTTGGTCCAGGAAGTGTCTGTATCTGTTAACTTGAGCCAGGGTTTCTGGGGTCAGACCCAGACTCAGCATGAAGATCAACAAGAGAGGGCCCAGACCCATCGCCATCTCTTCAACAAAGGCTCCTTCCTGCCAAGTGCAAAAGGAAGTGTGGGAGGGCACAGAACAGCATTGTCAGATTAGACTAAAAGGGCAGTGACATTTTCCCTGACATCAACATGAACAGGTATGCTCAGTCTTCTAGCTGCATATTTTCTTTTTCCTTCTTCATTAACCTCCGACCTCTTGTCAATCCATTCCTCTGGAGAGTCTATTTAAAAGTGTGAGGGCCTCCCTGGAAGTGCAGCAATGCAAGCTGACCACAGCCGCTTCAGTGTGAGTTCGATCCCCGCCCTGGAGGTGATCCACATGGCGTGGCAGACTTCTCCAGACCCGCTTGCTGCTCCCCTCAGCAGTGTACTTCCATCAACCTGCCTGTTCTGCTCCCCACTCTGTCTCTGGTGAATCCTCCCACCGCCCCTGCACCTCTGGCCTGTAGACCAGTTCTGTATGCACAAATAAATAAACCTTAAAGTAAAATAAATAAATAAAAGTGAACACAACTTCCAGCCTCAACCATTCTACCTTATTCCTTAAGGCTCACTGAGTATTTACCTTTCTCTCAGCCATAGCTTTATAAAATCCATTTACACTCTCTAATCATTAATTTCTTGCTAACAAAGGACATAGAAACCTCTACTGGATGCCAGTACTGTCCAAATGGCTCCTGAGTGAAAAGGTGGATCTCTGGGGAAGGAAGGGGATGCTAAGGCAGGAGGTAAGAGCTATGAAGAAGAGGGTCTTTACGCAGCCCGGAGCCCCAGGAAGGCTCTTTCTGAGGATTGTTGAAGACAAGATTCCAGACATTCAAATCAATTAGCCAGATGACTGTAAGGAGAGCCGTTTTAACCAGTAGAAGGTATACTTCCTTCTTCAAGAAGTAGGTGGTTCATGCCCAAAGGTGGAATTATTAGGTAATATTCAGAAAGAAGAGGCAGGAACATGGAAGAATCCATGTAATGACTGAAGTGGGCTTGGGGACAGCTCTTACAAAGGACTGGAGGGAGAGGGATTCAGACATATTCTTAGAAGCTTCTCCCATTGGGAACAATTTGGAGGTTTCTCAGAGAATACTTTCTAATGCCCCCACATATGGACACAGAGCACCACAAATAGCAAATGATGTTTCCATGTAGTTGGGGAAAAAAGCTCCTGAGACCATTTCATCAAATTAAAGCCTTTCTCATTTGCTATAATGATTTTTTTTAAACATTTCTCTGGATGAAAGAATAAGAACAGGAGTACTACTGCCATACCTTTCAAGAACTGCCTTAAACTGTGGAGCACACATATCCCAAGTGGATGTGGGTATTTTCAAACCACCCACAGAGAAGGATTTTAACTCAATGAGAGACAAGCAGAATTGAGCAAATGTAGACTATGACAGACTAGACAGAAATTTTATTAGAAACTATTAAGATTCTGTTTCTTTTGAAATTTGAAGAGTTGAGGATTGAAAGATGTTTAATGTTTGTAGCATGTAGTGTCTGACTGTTTCTTCAGTTATTGCAAGAAAAACTTCCAAAGCCTTTACAAATAACCCTAGTCCTCCCCCAAGTTAATCACACGTGTGAAAGCCCCTACACCCAGTGATAAAAATTACTTTTCACTGTAAATTTATAACTCATTTTTACACTTTGGATTTTCAAATTGTCTTCCTGAGTAACTTGTTTAATTTATGGTCAGTGATGACTTCTTGGCAAAGATCACACAAACAGAGAAATTCTTCCAATGGGAGAGAAATTTGACCTTGAAATTATGTAATTCATATTACATTAAATGCCATAAAATCCTCAGGAATCCTAAATTTAAAATTTCCATAGCTGTTAATCAAGTATTCATTTCTATTTTGTGCTTTTCTTGTGTGTAAGTCAATAGACATTACTTCCATATCAAAGAGCCCTTAAAGAGGCCAGCTTAGCACTGAGCCCCTGGTGTTGTTCAACAGCCTTGTAAATCTAGAAAGATGAAGGAATCCAGTGTTCTGTTGGCTTTTTGGGACTCAGGTGGTTACATGTGACATAGTGAGAAAAGTGAGGTTTCTTTCTAAACAGCATTTGGCACAGATCCATCTTGTTTAATAACTATACATTGATTTTGCATACTACTGCATACTACCAAATTATATACCAATACTGATACAAATAGCAGCTGAAAAGATATCCATTAAGCATAGAGAACTTGTAATAGAATTGAGCAAAAAACTGTTCTTGGAAGGTTAGCAAGACAGTGGTACATCATATGTAGGGGAGTGTCACCCCGAAAAGAATGACACATCTTCTTCTACCACTATTCCAGCTACCCCTATGCTCAGCTTTTTACATTTGCCTCCTGCTCTTCAGTCTCCCAAGTCTGCCTCCTCTTTCTAGTTGTTGTTGTTGTTGAAAACTTTATCTACGTTTTATTGATTTGTATTCAATTAAGTCTCCTTCTCTACAATGAACAAATACTACCTTCTGAAGTCAAAGGCAATTGTAGAATTGCAGGTTCTCAGGGTCAGAAAGGCCCTTACTTATCTCACAGGCACCACCTGCGTCCTGTGTCTGAGGCCAAACTCCCAGCTCTCAAAACCTTCAAGTAGAAAGACAGTCAGTCGTACACAAATCAGTTAGTAGGCGGCAGTGGTGGGTAGGAATATAGGTAGTGTCTCCCTAGCTGAGCAGACTGGGGGTCCTTGGAAGAGGAGTGGGTGTTGGACTGGTGTGGAGACACTGGTGTTCACAGAAGGGAATCTGAGCTGGCAACCCTCGCCTGCACCTCTGTCCACACACTCTAAGATACTATGACCAAAGACATCTCACACGATTCAAGGGTAAAAGCAAAAGCTACAAAGTTGAGTATCCACAAGGAAATCATGAAACATTTACCTGTCGTAAGGTTTCATGGTCTCCCAAGCCACTATCCTTGGGCTCTTCACCTGCCACTGTTTTCTACTGCTGTAGAATCTACACCACATTATTTGTCTTGAGTCTTCCTCATAACAAACTCTGAGTCATTAACAAAACAAGGCCTCATTTTCTTCTCTAAGTCTGAGTTAATCTATAAAACGTAAGCTGCTAGCTTTAAAAGTCTGACATTCCATGGTTCTCTTAAGCATAAGCACTAAGCTTTTCTTTTTCCACGATTCTAGTTTCACTAATAAAAGCCCTATAACCACACAACTGTCAAGACAAGTTTATATAAGTTTAATTAGTGGGCCCAGGCACTAGCTACAAGGAATAGATGATCCATATTGAATCTTACTGAAATGACTCATCCTTTAAGGCCCACACAGAAGCCATGCTCATGCCTAGCGAGTGAAGGTCCAGGAAAGCCACTTGGTGCTTGAAGACTGAAGGCCCTCACATCCCGTCTGGAGAAGTATGGATTTGTTTCTTTTTAATGATATTTTAAAATTTACATTATTTTAAAATGAAGTGCCTATTTCTTACCGTGTGGTTGATTTTTTGAATAATAAATGATTTCTCCCAACTCCCCTTAGGTCACTGAAGTTCTCCTACCACCAAAGCACGGTGACCATCGCCACAGCCTGTGTGCTGTCCTCCCCGTCCCCTGCTGTATACCTCTGACCACAGGGTCAGCTTGCAAGGTTTGTCTCTGACCCTTTGTTTGCTTTCTCTATACTCCTCAAGTAAGTGAAACCATATGCTACTTTTCTTTCTCCTTCTGAGTTATTTTGCTTAGCAAGTCCCTTCCCAGCTCTACTGGTGTCTTTGCAAATGCCATGAGTGTATCTTTTTGATCTCTGAGTAGCACCCCACTGTATAAGTGTGCCCCACCTTACACATCATCCATTCATTTACACTGTTTCCGTATCTTGACTATTATATATAGTGCTGCAGTGCATATAGGAATACGGGTTTCCTTGGATCTTTGTTTCTGATTTGGAATATTTGCATATTTCCAATGCAACTAAGGTTCCTCAGGCCTCTGTAATCTTTAGTCCTTAAGACATCCAGAAAACCAATTCCAGCGAGCGCATACCATAGCCACGATATCTAACATCTCTTTGCCTCGTGGTTTCTTCGTTCATGTACCCAGTTCTAAATTTCTCAAAAAGAGAAATTTAGAACTGGAATGGGGAGTATGAGGGTGGGAATAGTGAAGAGACAGTTTGTGGTGCAGAGTGAGTGTTCAGGCCAGGGAGGCAGCTCTTCACATCTGCTGGTCAAGCTCTCTCACACTGGCCCTTTAGTGCCAAGATGTAACTGGCGCTCAGCATTTTGGCAGTAGAATTTGTTCGGACTGTTCCTTAGACAAACTTTGTCCTCTGTCTCAAACCAACTCCTTAGTCTTCACAAAAATAGCATTCTCCTCATTTTCCCCTCGGCCCCAGGGAAAGTTTTGTATTCAAGAGAAGCATCAAACATGATGTTTAGGGGAGCTGGCTTGACAGTTTAAGATGAGCAGTTATGCTTAAGCTACATTCATAAAAAGTAGCTTCATACCTTTATATGTTTTAGGGCAATGCCCCTAAACACCCAACGCAGATGCCTCCCTTTATCTCCTTTCTCTCTTTCTTCCCTTCAACCGACCCAGGTACTCTTTGGACCTTAGGACATGTTCTGCTTTGCTTTCAAAAAGAATACGAAACTTTGGATAAAGAAATTGCAGAAAAAGTTAGCAGAAAACAGCTAAAAGCACATTTACTCTTTCTTTGTTAAGCCACACATAATTCCCATTCTAGGGATGCTCCAGAAACCCTTCAACAAATGGCTTCCCCAGCTTTCTGGGGATTTTTTCACAATCTAAGACATCCTCTTAAAACTCTATTGAGGGGCCCTCCCTGGTGGCATAACAGATTAGGGTGCAGCACTGTAAGCTGGTCAAGGCTGTTTCAGTGTGGGTTCTATCCTAGGCCCCGGAGGTGACCCACGTGGCGCAGCAGACCTCTCCCAACCCACCTGCTACTCCCCTCAGCAGTGTACTTCATCAATTTGCCTGTTCTGCACCTCATTCTGTCTCTGGGGAATCCTCACCACCTCTGGCCTGTACCCCAGCTCTGTAAGCATAAACAAATAAATCTTAAA